GTAGTTTCAAAATCACATTTTAACACAAAATCCAACCCTCCAATTTTCTTAAAAATACTTCTGGGGATGTGAAACCAAATTGATTCTGTCTGTGACATAAAAGCTTTTATCCAATTTGTTTTAAAGACTCCTACCATTGATTCAAAGTCCAGTGTTTTCAAACCTCCTTCTTTATAATCTTTGACCAGTTGTGATTTTTTAACATAATGCGTTTTGTTTCTCCATATAAAGTTGTATATTATAGAGTTTGCCTTTTTGATGTTTTTAGGAGTCACATACATCGAGTAACATGGATAAATCAATTTTGATATCCCCTCAGATTTGGATAATAGGTTTCGACCAAAAATGGATATATCTCTCATTAGCCAGTGATTTAAGTTTTTTTTTCATATTTTCTATTTTTTCATTCATATTCTTTTCCTCTCTTTTTTTTACTCTCTTTTATTAATTTTATGCCTAGATATTTAACTTCAGATTTAACAGGGATGGACATTATTTGTGTATCTGTACAAGGATATAGTGGTAGTATTTCGCTTTTCTTTTGATTTATATTCAAGCCAGATGCTTTGGAAAAAAGAGAGATAATGTTCAATGCTTTACAGACTACTGATTTGTCCTTTAAGAAGAAAACCGTATCATCCGCGAATTGACTAATGCGAAATTCATAATCAAAGATATTAATCCCTTTAAATTCCTGGTTATTTACAATCAGATAAGCCAACATCTGTGTGCATAAAATGAAGAGTTTTGGTGATATAGGACAGCCTTGTCTGATCCCACGAGAGATATTTATTCTAGGGGTCATTCCTGGATTAAGAGAAACATAACTGATTATTTCTTTATAAAACATTTCAATCACTTTACAAAACTTTTCACCAAATCCAATTTTTTTTTAGTGTCTGAATCAGAAAGGAGTGTTCTACAGAATCAAAAGCTTTGAAAAAATCTATGAAAAGAATGAGACTTTCTGAATCAATAAGCGATTGGTAGTCTAGCATATCCAATATTAATCTCACATTATTGTGTATATGTCTACCTTTAATGAAGGCTGACTGAAACTCATCAACCAGATTGACCAGCACATTTTTAAGTCGATTTGCATATACAAGAGCTACTAATTTGTAGTCATTGCAAAGAAGAGTTATAGGTCTCCAGTTGTCTAGGTTCAATAAGTCCTTATTAGGTTTGGGTAGTAGTGTTATCAACCCAGTTTTCATTGTGGGGGATAAGCATCCTTTTCCTATACATTCCAAAAAGGCTTTATGTAATAGGTCTTTAATGTCATTCCAAAAGTGTTTATAAAATTCTGATGTTATACCATCTATTCCTGGTGACTTTCCATTTTTCATCTGTTTTAGTGCACTTTCCAATTCTGATGTAGTTAAATCCTCACCTAATATTTTTTTATCTTCCTTATTCAGCATTTTTATGTTATCTTTGACTGTTTCAAATAATATGTCACAGTCTTCTTTTTGGAAATTGGATTTGTATAAATTGTTATAAAAAAGCCATATTTCATCATTTACCTGTTTTTGGTCATCAGTAATAGTATCATTTTTCTTCAGTTTATTTATTCTCTTTTTACTCTGTCTATGTTTTTCTAATCCATAGAAGTATGACGTATTTTTTCTCCTAGTTCTATCCATCTGGCTCTTGATCTTATAAACGCTCCATTAGCTTTTTCCCTGTACATATCATCTAGTTTGACTTGAAGGGCATTCAATTCAGCCTTTTCCTCTATTGTTGTTTCAGTTTTTTCACATATTGTATTTATTTTTAGGATTAATTCTTTTTGTTTGTGTTTTCTTGTTTGTGAAATTCTTTTTCCTGTTACAATTGCTAACTGTTTGAGTTCAAATTTGAACCACTCCCATTTGTTCATATGCGACATGTCAAGTTTATTAACACTTTGAAAAAGGATTTTAACTTGTTTACAGAATCCATCATTAAGTAATAAGCTATTATTAAATTTCCAAGTATTTTCTGATGGTTTGGGCTGCTGAATTATTTTTAAAGATAATTCAACCATGCAGTGATCTGTTAGGGGCGAAATTGAAATTTTACATTTTAGAACATCTTTACATATTATCTGAGATATTAACTAATAGTCTAATCTTGAACAACGATTACTATCTGCCGAATTAGTCCAAGTGTACTTTACAGAGGTGGGATTTGATATTCTCCAGTAATCAACTGTATGTGTTGACATACATGGATTGGTTAAAATATCATCATAATCAGGTTGCTGTCCTCTATGGGGTTTACGATCAAGCCATGAATCAGGAGCTATGTTGTAGTCACCTCCCATTACCACTTTCTCTGTCATAAAAGTAACTTTCCAGTTATTTATGAGCGAACTTAAACTTTCCATCATGACCCTATTATCTGTTCTGTTATTATATCCATACACACAAAGTAGAATATATCTTTGATCATGCATCTCTACTACCATTATAAGCCAATGTCCACCTGTATCACTTTTGTGTTCAATTACCTTTCCTGGAAATTTGTTGAAAAGCACCATCACTCCGGCAGAGTGAGAAGTTCCATGAGAGAAAAGGATTTCTTCTCCCCGTTGCTGTTTCCAAAATTTTCCATCTGCTATCCCTGAGTGTGTCTCTTGTAAAAAAAAAAGCAATTTGCCTGTTGTTCCTTACAAAATAAAAAAAAAAGCCTTGCGTTTGACAATATTTTTTAAACCTCTGACATTTATAGAAACAAAAGATACCAACATTTATAACTCCAAAGACTCCTATTAGAACGCACCTTTTAACCCTACTAGACGCAGGAATGTTTATGTAGTCCTAAATTGAAAATATTCATTAAACCAACCCCAAAAATTGCTTTAAATCATCTTCTTATACAGTTTAAATTAAAATATATCCTCTTTGAAAAGCAATGAACAAAAGGGCTGTGAAAGCCTTTGTTATCCTTTCTTCTCCCTTATTGCAACTTAGCTAACATTTTTTCTTATTTGAATCTATCATTTTGCTTTGAACATAAAAATACCTTCTCTTTAAAACTATTTCTCCACTGAAAACAAAATTTCAACAGAAAACAACATTTTTCTCAGAGCGTTTTTTCCTTTCTTTAACTTATCTAACACAGGTATAGATTATATTGTAAAACCTCAGTTCTGTTGTTATTAGCACTTCAGGTTACCTGAGATAAAGACATTTGCCTTTTTTGTCCCATTATCAGGGCTCAACTCGTATGCCATCGATGATAGCATATCCCTCCTTCAGGAAAGCCTTTCTGCCATTACGCCTGGCCTCTTCCACTCTCGGCCACAACTTGGCTCTGGCCTCTCGATCCTCTTAAGAAAAGTCCTCCCTGAAGTGGATGTTCAGTTCTTTGCAGACTCTTGCATCTTTGGATTTCTTCCAGATGTCATTCAAATTGAATGATGATGGGCCTCGGCATTTTGTTGTACTCTGCATCATTTTTCTTGCCCAGACGATGAACCGTGTCGACCAACTCCCGGATTTTGTCCACTGCCACTGGAATCACCCTGGTCAGGATCCCAATTACAGCCTCTTTTACATCCTTGTTGTCTTTCTCCAGCAAGCCCAGTAGCTGCAGATCCCATCTCCTCTTGTATCTGTCATTGTCTTTGCACATTTCTATCAAAGTGCTGTTTTCTTTCTTCAGAGAGGCTATTTGTTTTTGCATTTTTCCAATTTCCTCCTTGTTTTCCTTAACCGCTTGTGTGTTAGCCTCTATGCGGAGTTCAAAGCTCTTGAGACACTTGTCTTGTGTGTCAAATCTCTGCAGTACTGTTTGAATAGCTTCGTAGATGCTATCGTTGCTAACGTTAGCTTCTCTATCTCTCATTTTCATGTCTCTCTTCTTCAGTCTTTTGGCATCAGGACTGGGGAGCGGTGTGTGTTCATTCAAAAGAGTTACCGTGCTCTCTTCCATGTCTTCCAGCTCCTGAATGTCTTCATCATCACACGCCTCTTTGAGTACTGCCAAATTGTAGTCATGGTCTTGCGTGCTAGCTTGTTTTGTAGCCTTATCCATGTCGCCAGTCAGATTAACGTCTTCTTTTTTTCACAGCTGGAGTCTTGAAGCTTACTTTACAGTGTTGTTTTAATCTTAATGTTGCGTTGGGTTAGTTATTTTGGTCTAGAATGACACTTTTTAGGACGAAATTAACTTTTTCTTTCAGACCCTGCTAAAAGTGCAGCTGCTCATTCCGCCATCTTGATTCCCTCCGTTTCCGTGAAAAATAAGGTGGATTGAATTCATTCAAAATTGAAAAAAGAGTTTTATTTTGAAAGGGTTTAGTCTGTGGGTCCTCTTCCGGGTCAGCAGGTGGCGGCAATGCTCCCAACACGTTGATTTCCCGCCACCGTTAAGCTCGAAGAAGACGAAGAAGAGAAACTACGTCACCGACGCCAGACATCTCACGTTAATATCCACAACAAACATGGCGGACGGTGAGTGAATTGTTGACCATTGATCGCGGTTTTCACCGTTTTTGTTGTAGTTGTTGTTTGTTTGCCGCGTTTCCGGTTTGATGTGATGATTAAATAACTCGGTTTAAACCACAGAGGCGGATTTTACCCGGTAGTGACGATCATTTAGCGGATACAGCGCGTTAATATGATGCTAAGCTAACTTACCGCCGCTCACAATGCAGTGACTGATGTCACCGTAAAGATAATTAAATAAACATTATTATTTGTTGTTTGTATCAGAGCTGTAAAGACTGAAGCAGAGTCACTGACACACTGATGGGCGCTAAAATACTGTCAAATCTAACAGAGGTTTGGGATCGTTAACGTTCCGTGTCAGCGGTGAAGACACAAACTGGAATATATAAACTTTAAGTCAGATTTTTATAAACTTTATTTGATGTTTGAAATATTAAACAATAAAGTAGCTTCAGTAGTTTCCTTTGGTGAGTTTACTAATGGCACAGGTCCCGGATACTCTCCGCTGCCCTGAAAGGAGTTCCTGTGTGAACCAAACTCTGTTCAAAAATTAGCAAATTTAACGATTCCTCACTCCGTCGTGTTTCCAGAAGTAAACTGAACGTCACTAACAAGTCATTAGGGTCTGCTGGTAAATACGGCGGTATTTAATTTAATGTTAGCAAACTTTTAACCCTTAAACATGAGTTTCTTTGCACCAAACTCAGTTAGGTCAATCGATAATCAGATGTGTGACAGATTTGCTCACAGTGTTGGGCAAGTCACTCTCAAAATGTAATTCATTACACATTATTAGTTACCTTCATTTGAAAGAAGTTAGTTACTTTACAATATTACTGTCAGAGTAGAGTAATCAGTTACTTAAGGGAACCAAAATGAGTTCAGAAGAACTGATGTTGACGTTAATGGATGAGTTTGAAACATTCATGTGTTCACACACAGTGGAACCACTTTGTGTTCAGATCCTGTGCTTACATTAACGACAGTCTGATGATATAGAACATTAAATATATAAATGAACAGTGGTGGACACAGGGAGGCTCAGGGTCCCAGTCTGATCATTATCAGATATGGATAAATATCTGTGGGCCTCTGATATGAAACACAACAAACAGAATGGCGTGCCAGTCACCATGACGAGCGCAAATTAAAACACCGGAGCTGCCGGCTCCTGGCAGGTCGGTAGGCTGCAGCAGCAGCACAGAGAGAGTTCTGTATAAGAACAGGACTGTGTGTCAGCGTCGCTCTGCAGCTGCAGGAAATGTGAACAGAAACACACCCAACTTATACTGACATCAGCCAGATGTGCCCATCACCAGGATGAGGTCAGCTCCTGACCCCCACTGCTGTCAGGCAGCCTCAGGATACGGTGTAGGTCGTTATATGAATGAAGACACACTGAACGTGATAAGACATCATCATCAGCACTCCACGATAAGTTGGTCTGTAATGACATGACGACACAAAACAACTTTCGGGAGATATTTTTTCTGGTGGCATGTCGGTGGAAGTGGATTAATGATAAAATAAATATAGACAGACAGTTTATTTCAGGTGCAAACGTGACCCTGTACATGTTATAATATTACCTCAAATCCTGCTGGTAACATGTCATATGACTTCCTTGCTGCTAAAAGTCGTACATCACTGTAACGTTAGCTCAACGCTGTTTGCAAATCAGCAGGCAATTGAAGTTTAACACAAACAATAACCGCCTCAGAAACATCGCAGTTTCATGGTGTCACAGAATTGATCTTATCACAAGTCAGTCACTGCTGATCGCTGCTGCGTTAACGTTTGTCTCTGGGTGACGGCAGAAAGTTTTCTCTGTGTACTTCAGGATCACCTCGTAAATTTGATAATTAAAACATGTTGCAGCTGCTGCCTTTGAAGATAAATCACAGGTTAACTCTCACGTGTCGGCGCCGTAGACTGTCTGGGTGCTGCGCTGCTGTCGTGGTTGAGCTCCGCCTCCTTTACCCCGTCAGCATCATTATTATATAAACATTCAGATAATTGATTGTTGAAATGTTGAATCGTTTTATAATCGTCCGCATGACAGTGAATCTAAGAGTCGATTATTTCCTCCACTCCTGCTGAGCTCAGGCGTCACTGCAGTCAAATAACCTGAATCAGTCACGTGAGCTGCAGACGGTCGGTCCGTCGGCGCCGACAACACGTCTGCACCAAACTGGGTTTAAACAATGATACGTTTGAGCAGTTTTCTGTCCGACAGCAGACGCTTTGTGTCACCGTCAGATTCATCTGAGGATGTTTCAAATCTGTGTCTGAAACAACAGCTGAGAAAAGTTCTGACGTCACACTGAAGATGATTTAAATACTGTCTCTGTGTTTAGATCACACAGACGCAGATCAGACCATGGAGGGACACACTGCTGTGAGTACACACTGTACACACTGTGATAATGATGATGATGATGGTGATTGTGTCATGCTGGTTGTTTGTATGGTTAAAGTTTTGATGTAAAAGGTGTGAACATGAATCCTCCTGCAGGTGTCTGAAAACCCTCACGCAGAGTATGGCCTGACGGAAAACATCCAGGTAACACACACACACACAAACACACACACACTGTGTAATGTGAAGATGAAGGCAGACTCCCAGCATGCTTTGCTGCTGCTCCTCAGAGGACGGTGGAGAATGAGAAGGCGAGCGCAGAGAAGATGTCGAAGCAGAAGGTTGATCTGCAGGCGCTGCCGACCCGAGCGTACCTGGACCAGACTGTGGTCCCCATCCTGCTGCAGGGGCTGTCAGTGCTCGCCAAGGACAGGTACACACTCCACTCTCAATACACACACTAAATACACACTCCACTCATAATACACACTCTCAAACTTGCGATCGAGTCGAGACCTGACCTGAGATTCGATCGCAGCCTTCGCTGACGTCCACGTCAGTACCTACTGAGCTCTGTGTGGAAACAACTGCACATCCCGTTTCCTGTTGGAGGCTTGTTTGGTAAATGAGAGCCGGTGTGTCCCTCCACCTCTGAAACTAGAGCCTACACCCTCATCTGTTAGCATTAGCATTAGCATGAACACAGTCCACTGAGGAGCAGCTGATTCACTTAAACATTTGACATCACTTTATTTGTCCCCAGAGAGAGGAGTCTCAGTGTAAAGGCAGACAATTTGAAAGACATCCAGTCTGGCGGCCGCTAGCTGCTCGCTCCGCTGCCATTCAGCGGCTAATGAGCGGAGCTAGCTGCTAACAGCCACCGCTGCAACCAACAAACTCCACAAATCCATTCAGCAGCTCCACCATCCACAGTCAGACACACACGGCTGATTATTTACTGCTGAATTACAGCTCACAAGTCGCACCAACCCAAACATCCTGGTGCAGACTATTTACTGGAGTTTACAGCCTGTCGCTCATGTGACATTTGAAGAAGCTAACCCAGTCTCACTCTGAAGTTGCCGAACACTGGCACTTGGTCAGTGATATCCAGCGTCAGACACTAACGAAAAAACCACTGTTGTTGCGTAACAGTACAGCGGACCAGAAGATAAATTGTGCACTTTTTGAAAAAAGCATGAAATTTCTACCATAGTTAGTACATACCTTAAGGTTTATTTTCAGATGTGGAGGGAAGTCAGATTTGACCCCTGAGGCCTGGGAGAGGTCAAATTCAAGATGGCCGCCAAGAATATTCAAATATGCTTAACTTTGGAACCAAACACAGTAGAAAAACATTTAAGGTGTCATTTCCAACTAAGTTTAGGGTGCCCATTCAGTTAGTGATACTTCTGAGATCACCAGAATTCAAGAAAATGCATTTAGGTCAAAGTCATGGTCAAATTATACAGACGGAGTGAGATAAGGGGGGAAAAAGATGGTTTATTTCCAACATAATAACAGTAATGATAATGATCATTATGGTCAAATGAACAGAAATCTATCAGTCCCCAGAACAAAAACATAAATCTGTACACTTGAGTGCAGCTTTGGCACACTTGCACCGTCCAGCGCACCCTTCCTGGCAGTTGCAGTGAATCAGCTCATGGCACAATTTTGCTGCTTCAGGGAGAGTGGTCCAGAGCGGCTGCCACCCAGTTGTTTCCCTTGTCCATCTCCAGTCAGATGGCTCTGGCATCTCAGGATCCAGGACCAGTGACTGGTTCCAAAGGTTGATGTGCTGTGTGAGGGCTGCCTGGGTCGGAGGGATGTTCTCTAAAGTCCAGGACGTCTGGGTGAAGAGCTGTTTTCTGGCATCATTCACCTCTGTTTCCTAGTGTACTTACAGGTAATCCAAAGGCTTCTTGCACACCAGGAATCAATCTCAGTGACAGTGATGGTGGAGTACTGTAGATACATACTAAGAGAAAAGGTACTCTGTCTTCACTGGCTCAGTTAAAAAATGTATTTACATACAATATTTCAGTAGGCCTACTATGCTTCTTATACTGACACTTGCTTTGAAATCAGTCATAACACGTCTACATTTACATGCCAGCTATTAGCTCTCAAGCCTGTTTGATACCGGCGGCACAGTATTGAACTAGGCTACTTTGCTGTAACCATTAATTTAGCTATAGTCCTACTTCACACAAATGACCAAACTGAAATCTCTAGAACATGCGCTGTTCAATCATTCAACTGACTTCAGCTCACGTATGTTCCAGACTGTCTTCTAGTTTAGCTAGCAGAATTATTTTTGATCAGTGCTCGCCTTTTTTTTTTTTTTTTTTTTTTT